ACCATACAAATGGTCCGAGGTTCGATCCCCTTCCGACGCACACCTGATATCTACGGTCGGCCTGCATAATTTGGGCTACCGATATCCATGCTGAAAATTCCGTATTTGTACCAATAACACGGCGTGGAATCAAGCTGTAATCGAAAATCAAAAAAATTCATGAAATGGCAGAAATTAGGATTCATGCGCCAGTGAGTGAGGTTAGATTGACTGATTAGTCTGCCAGCTCGCCATGTAATCGGTAGATGCCGGATTCGAACCCCTGTGGGCACGTACTACTGAAGAGTCACCAATTAGAATGAATTAACAGTCTAATCCTCTTTGATTTTTAAATGGTACCCTAACTGTTATCAGCTCATGACCAAACCTGTAATGGACGGTGAAATCTGAATACCATCTATCAGCATTAATCATTATTGACAACCACATCCACGCAATTCCATACCATACCTGACTTATGTTAGTATTTAGAAGGTGCTTTTGATGTTCACAGAATAGCAACTCAATTCTTAGATGACCCCATTAAAAAAAAATTAGGTTTGATTATTTGTACTACTGAAATAATCATTTGTCAGTAATTTTAAGCACAACGCAATATAATTATTGATTTCTTTTTTCGTTATTTATCGATTGGTTATGATTTCAAAAATTATGCAAAACAGCTATGTAAAATACACACACCCACACACAAGGACTTTACATCTTAATAGATTAATTTAAAAGTCCTTTGATATTTGAAATTTAAAATAATAAGAATAATAATGAGTAAATTTGAATAGATATCACTAAAAATTAAGTACTTTATTGACTGACTGATTAACTGAAGAGACAAAAAGAGCAAAAGCGTTTATTGATTTATCACTTGCTACTTTCAGTTTGAATTTGATAAATATCTTTTATTTATGATGGATGTGAACTAAGGTTAAGTAATAATAATAATAATAGTAATAACCAACCAATCAAATCCCTACAAAAACCAATACTTGAAAATCAATGAGATGCTCACAAGCGACCGGCCCTATTCAAGCGCGTAGTCATCTGGGGGTCTGTTGAGCAGTCATGACCAGTATGGTGGGGCAGGTCGGGTGTGAGGACAAATACTAGCCACCGAAGACATTGTCTAGAGGTCGCACTATGTCGTGAATTGGTAGAAATCAGAATTCCTGGGCCATTGGATTGCTTCTCAGTGGCTTAATGGTATTCGAGCTCGCTAGCCTTGTAACCAGAAGGTCTTGGGTTCGAACCCCTGGGGAGCGTGCATACTTTGAAGAATCCCAAACTAGGACGAAACGGCTGTTCAGTACGCCCAGGTTTTCTAATGGTTCTCTAACCAATGTTAGCTCTTCATGAATTCCTGTAACCAATCAACCAAAATCCATACAAACCAAACTTGAACTTCAATGAGATACTAACTAGCGACTTGCCCTATTCAGGTAGATAGTTACCTGGGTTTCTAGTAGGAAGTTGTGACAAGCAGGGTGCAACAGGTCGGGTTGGAGGACAAATACTCGCCACCGAAGGCATTGGCTAGCGTTCATGCTATATCGTAGAAGTTAGAATTCATGAGCTGACCATTGGATGGAATCCTAGTGAGTGGCGTAATGGTCTACAAGATAGCTAACCTTGTACACAAGGTCTTAGGTTCGACCCCGTGGTGTGGGTGCGTACTTCTGAGGCAGAATGGCAAACTAGACTGATGAAACAGATGTCCTGAAGGTTTTTCAATGCTTCTTCAACCAATGTCAGCTCATGATGAAGTCCTTTAACCAATAATAGTAACAATAATAGTTTTTAAGTGTTGGCATTCAGACTGGGATGCATGTTCGGTTTCAAAGTGAGGGTCAACCTTAAGACTACCGACCAAGCAGTGTGAACGCCTCAGTGACCTTCAACACACAGCTTTCGTTGGTGTTACAGAACCTGTCCATTATTACAGTCCTGGCATGACGAATGTACACGAATGGAAGTGCAAATTACATTTCCGTCTTAAGTATAACTTGGACAGTGGGTTGATGCCTCGTTAGGGTTGTGTTTAGCATTAATAGTAGGGTTAGGGTCAGAATTGGGAAACCGATTTTTGATAGCTATGTAACTTAAAAACTGATACCCTTCATTGTAATCAGGAAGTAATTTTTAGTTTTATAAGTGTTGATATTTGCAGGGATTTTGATTGATTCGTTGGAGGACTTCACCATGAGCTCATATCAGTTAAAGAACCATTGGAAAATCAACCAGGAGTTACTGGGCAGCTGTTTCATCGGTCTAGTTTGGAAATCGGCCTCAGCAGTACGCACCCACCGTCAGGGTTCGAACCCAGGAACTTCTGGTTACAAGGCTAGCGAGCTCATAGACCATAAGGCCACTTACTGGGCCCCGAACCAGTGGCCAGTCCATGAATTCTGTCTTCTGCCAATTCATGCACGACATAACGCGACCACTTTGCAATGTCTTCTTCGATGAGTTACTGCCTCACCTTCAACCTGCTCTTCTCTACTGGTCACGGCTACCTACTAGAGCCCCAAGTTACTACCTACTTGAATATGGCCAGTTGCTATTGAGCGTCAGGTCAAGTTTCAGGTATTGATTTTTGTAAGGACTTTGTTTGATCGGTTGGAGGAATTTTAGCAAGCGCTGACACCAATTAGAGTTAGTTACTTGTTAGGGTGAAACACCTGCCCAGTACTTGCATGTTTTTCAGTGATTTCCTAACCTATGTTGACTCATGATGAAATCTAGGCTGAACAATCTGCAAAAATCAATTACTGACGTTATCAATTATTGTTTCCATTTCCCATAAAGTCAGCTGTATTTTGGTTGCTGCTCTCTGGGAGCCTAATTTTACGTTCTTGAGAACACATACCAGTATGGCTAACCAAATAAATAGGTGTGGTAAGAACCATGGATAATTCTATACATATTGACTAGAGAACCTCGTCCAAGAAGGCCACAATGCTAGCAGTTTTGAAAAGTCTTTCTTTATCCTCCATTTTGTATCAAATAAATTACCAAAAGCTTCTTGTTACCAAACAGCAGAGACCAGTGAAATTCGCCCTGGGGAACCGAAGCTCTGTGTGTCACTATCGCTAACTTGGCCTGCTGTGAAGCTTACAAATTCATGCATTCTCCGTTACTTCTCATCATTGTATCTGATATTCAGTTGATTATATTACACTACTTCATCACTCACAGATTATTTTGAACTGTAATCAATCGATATTATTTATTGATTTAGTATTATTTAGGAAACAAGATTACTGCTGGTAATAACAATTGTTTTTAAATTACTATGGCATCTTTAATCAATAATTCTATTTGTGTTTTTTTTCTAAATATTAGTCTATCAACGATTCACCAGAATTTAAACGTCATTCAGATACCAACAATTATCGAAAAAATCAAAACGAAATAGAAGCTGTCAATTCTCTTGGCAATATAGCTCCACCAGCGATACCAACAAAAATGTCTGCCGATCCAAACAATCCAATCTATGTGAATCATTCACTCCACTCATCGACTATCGATAAAAAGGCTAATGATGTAGGTGTTTACGAAAATCGATTTGCTTTTTATTTTTTATTTTAATTTATTATGGCTTAGCGGTTTTGTGTTTTTAAAGAGAGGAATGAGGGTAAAACATACTTGTCTCAAGAAAGATTAATTATTCACGTCAGAGTCAACCGCGACAATCGCTCGACAACGTTTTTATATTACACGAAAATGCACACAGAAATTTAAGCCATAAATAAATAGATAAATAAACAAACCTGATTGGTTGTGTGACGCCGCAAACCCTCAGGATTTTAAGCCGTTTATAAACCAATCAGATAAACTGTCTAATCAGATTATCGTGTTTAGTGAATGCATAAATACATGCATGATTTCACAGCTATAACCTGGAAAGGAAGCTTGCCCATTCAGCCTAACATCAACCAATCATCTCATTTCAACCTTGAGATGACACTGGATTTTAAAAAAAGATTAAACATTAATCAAGAAGACAGTGGGATATTGATTTTTAATTAGATGATACTTACCTGTCTAAATGCATGATAATAACTGGAATTTCTTTTGTGAAGTATGATAAATAGTTAAGAGTTGAGTAGTTATGGCGAAAAGAAATTTACCGCTCTTTTGTTTTAACATATATACTTGAATAAATAGACACAGCTGGAAGCGGGCAATTTGAATTTGGATTTACTCAGGTAGAGTTGCTTTTATATAATGACGAATGATAATAATAATAGCTTTAATCGAGACATTTTATGAAGAAATGTGCAGAATTCCTAGCAGGATTTATAGAATAATATTTTCAGTAAGTTCAGCACCATCAGGTAAATGGTGATCCATAGTAGTAGACCGCGTGACATATTCCCTGAAATGTATACAACGCATGAAGACATTTTCCGACCTGATGATATGATTGAATGACTAAAGACTTCAGGGAGTTAGTATGATTTCCTAAGGAGTGCGTAAACAGTGAAGGAAATTTTTCCTTTTGACGATTCATTTCCATGACCTGTTGCACAATAATCGTCATTATGTTCAACAAACAAATCATAGGGTCAATCAAATATTGGTAAAATTTGTCTTCAAAAAATGTATTACCTAATGTAAGGTGTAGCCTAGATGGGATGACTAATCGGAAAGTTAGAAAAGGCGGCAGAAGTTGGCATGACGTCATAAGTGTGAGATAATGACTAATCAGTAAGCTCGTGTAGAATGGACTGGAACCAGTGGAAAGGCGATAAAGTGTTTTCAATGTAAATGCAGTGTGAAAACGCATTGTGATTAATAAACAGTAATAGGGTGAATTAAAAGTCAATCTGAATGAAGAATATTATTTTCAATAATGTCTCCTCTTTAGGTTCTTACAATTATAAAATATGCAATATTTGTTGTCCAGACGCTGTTCCATCCGTGGCCAAACTTGGATTGATAATTCTTCTTTTCACCAATAGTGTTCTTTCCCCTTAAACCCTCTTGGTCTTTTTTCCCTTTGCTTTTCATTACAATTATTATTTTTATTATTCGTCATAATTTATGCCCTTCATCCAAACATCCCCTCAATACTCTCGAATTTTCCATTTATACTACCCGGACTTATTATTATTGGTATTATCTCTTTTCTCAATATACGATGCCTCCACCTATTTTATTTCACCACATATTTGTTATTTTTTAGTGAACTTTTCATTGTAGTCTTAATATCTCCTGTTTAAGACAGACCACTTTGTACTCACCACTCACCTGATACCTTTTATAACCTTGAACCGACTTGTTTGTCAATTTTCCTACCCCACACTCTACAAATCCATTGTGATGACTAATCACCACCATTGTCTCCCATTTCACTGATATATTTTGTAATCGATTTCAGCCAACTAGCACGACGTTTGTCACACTCAAATACGACTATTTATATTTTTTGACACCCCATAACTACTAATCTGTTATTCTACGTTAAAAATGCATCCACCGCATAATTGGCTATCATTATTGTGACGACAAGAAATATTATAATATTTTATAACTGTAAGAACCTGAAGAGAAGAAATTATTGAAAAGAATATTCTTCGTTCAAATTGACTTTTAATTCATGTTATGGGAATATTTCACATTGGTAGTAGAGTAGTATTAAGTTATAGATGATGGGAATAATAATGATAATAAAATAATACTAGTAATAACAACAACAATAATAATAATAGCGAACCTACATAAGGAAAAGACAAAGCAATAAGGAGACATAATTTGTCTGAATTGTGTAATGTATATTTGTGCAACACAATTCGAACAATCTCTGCAAGTAAGGGCTGACTTCAGAGCATATTCTAAAATGGCTCCAGAGGTAAATATAATCTTCAGGACCCAATAATGGTGAGAACAGGAGACCTAGCTCCTATATTGCCAAACACATCACAGAGGAGACAAGTGTCTTTTAGACCTATCTATAAGACGTGTTTGATGGAGGGCGTATTATAAAGTTTGTGGAAGCCCAGCTTTATGTGTTCAAAGCAACGATAGGTCATCACACTAAACCACCTTCCTTGGTAAACTTTGTTTTTACACCATAACAGATGTCATATTACTTCTGTTATTTGGTTTTGTGATTTTCATTTTTGTCATTTTGACCTTCAATACGTCCTTGTAACTTGACCTCAGTAGTCTATTTTCTCACCTCTTAACTCTTTATTAATTTCACATATATTCCTATGACAAGTCCGTGATTGTGTGATCAGATTGTTTGAAATGTGTGTTGCGCAAATACAGCATATCACGATTCAGACAAATTACGTCTTCTTATTGCTTTGTCTAAATTCATAAAGGGAACACTAATTGTTTTAAATAGTAAAAAGAAGCAAAATTATAGTAAGAACTTTACTCTGGTCACGGTAGGGTGAGAGAATGTATGCAGCTTTTTTTGAATGCAGAGGTCTGTTTTCAGATCTCGAATATCTAATGCTTCAGCTATGTATAGATGGTGTACTCAAAATCCCTTTGTACTATACTGAGGGACTCTGTGTAGCACTATGAAGCATTCATGCAGGATACAGGTGCTCGATGTCCACAGTTGATAAGGTGTTCGAGGATGGAGCTGCTGCTATTCTTCTTTTCTCCTCTAGCTAGAATACATTTGTGGCCTTGATGTTGAGTACATCCGACATACTTTACTCCACACGAACAAATAAATCAATAAATACACATATGCATGCGCCACCTGTACATAGCTGAAGCATCAGATATTCGGGATCTGAAACCGGACCTCAGAATTCAAAGACACTACTAACATTCACTCGGGCCTACCGTGTCCACAGTAACGTTCCTACTGTAACTATGCTTCTTTTTTATTATGTAAGTTAACTATTATTATTTTATTATCATTATTTTATTCCCATCATCCGTATTTTATTATCACTCTATTACTGCTTAATAATAACGCTGCGTTTTCATGCAGATTTTATATAAAAACATTTTATCGCCTTTCCACTAGTTCCCGTCCATTCTACACGAGCTTATTGATTAGTCATTCATTACCTCACACTTATTACGTCATGCCAACTTCTGCCGCCTTTTCTAACTTTCCGATTAGTCATCCCATCTAGGTTACACCTTACATTACGTAATACATTTTTCGAGAACAAAGTTTACCATTATATGATTGGTCTAAAGATTTCTTTGGTAAATATATAATTAATACGATTATTGTATAGCATGTTATGAGAATGAATCTTCGAAAAGAGAATTTTCCTTCGCTATTTATGTCTTCTACTATTTCTCATGACACCATATCTGAATATATTTCGTTCATTGTGCCAGAAATCTCAGTCTCGGAATATTCTGCCATCCTGACGATTATGCATTCCCTCAAGTTTAGTAGAAACCTGTCAACTAGTAAGCTGTGAGAGTAAATAATACCATAAAGGGGAATCATGCCTATATGAATTAAAACAATGTCACCACGAGAAGTGATCGTGCAGTAAAGCAATGATGCAGGTTGATACAGTGGTAGCTGCCGTTTACGATGTGTACTGCATGTGCTTCACAGGGATATGGCATAAATCAGCAGGCCAGATGTTACGTTTTTTTTGTTGGTTGTATTTTTAACGCCGTGTGTTTTAACCAACTCCTTTTCATATTACAACTACTAGGCGGGAAAGCGACCCGCGTTTTCGAAAAATGTGACAAATCACAATTTTTCATGTAGTTGTTTCAATTGGAATCAGAATTTAAAATGTTTCAATGTCCAGCTGTTCAATAGTGAAGCTTGAAAGAGATTTCCAAGGTTTAAAACAAGCAACAAAAGGTGTTAATAAAGCAGGATGCTTTAATGACGGATTCATCAAATTTTGGTAGAACTCGTCAGCTGCTCAGTACTCTACATACACGGATATATATATACATACTTTTGAAATTACATTGGGAGATATAAGACTGACAAGTAAACAAACTACATTGAATTAGTCATGCAGAGAGACAGGTGGTAATGTTCTCCAGGTCATGTTTAAATAGATAAGGGGAGAGAGAGTATGAGAGATCAAAATTAAGATCAATTGCATTACGCTTCAACTACATCACTTAGATAAACAGTTAGTCATTAAATAATATGACCAGAATTGCAAACAGAGTAATATCAATAGTAATAGTTATAATAACAATAACAATAATAATAATAATGGTGCTGAAGTGAGTTAAGATAATCCTAATGATAAAGGATAGTTTTAAATGAATAAAGAATTATAATAATAATAAGAGGTAAAATAATAAGTAAAACTTGATACCATAGTAGATTCAGAGTGATGACAATCTCCTTATGTACACAAAGACCTGGTTTATAAACTCGAATGGCACAAGACTCAGCCATGCCAAGCATCTTCCTGTTTCTTTGTCTGATGACAATAACAGTGAATGACTTGACAGTGTCGATATCATGTCCGTAATCCACAAGATTTTTTTTTTTTATTGAGGACTTTAGCACTTTGTATTCATCTGTTTTCAACCAACCACTTTGTCGAATGTTCCATTATGCAAGTAGACAATCGCCTTTCTGTACAACAAATGTATTTACTTCCATCCACAAACACACTCAAACTGATATACGCCAATCTTCGACACTTTAAACTGCGTATATCAATTTAAGTGTGTTTGTGGATGTAAATACATAGGTCACACAGAGAGGTGGTCGTCTACTCGTTGACGAGTGGGACAATAAAAGAAAAGACACGTGGAACAAATATACCACAAGACAGTATAAGAGAAGAATGACTGACTGGTTCAAGTCGCCACACTCCCTCCATGTAACACACAAAGCAAGAGAAGTAAGCAGAAGAAATGCATAAGAGAGAGACAGTAAACAGAGGTGTGAGACAAAGGAATAGTATTAAAGAATAACAATACAGTTTCGTTGGAAAGCATAAGTCACAAGGAGTGGATGCATCTGCGCCATTGAGAACAATCACATTGAGCCAAATCACCAGTTGTCTCCAGCCGTCATTGTTTTTTACCATCCCAAGGAACCCAACTAGTCAGGAAGTCTTCACCTTCCTACATGGTTTAAACTAACTGTTGTGGATTTCATTTACTGATAAAGCCATGTTTTGCTTTTATCACCACTACCACTAACTCTTTTCCAACCTTATTCATCCCATGTCAGCAGCTAACATTGCCCATTATCGAGGAAGGCGATGACTAGACATAACACATGCGTAACACATGTCCTAACCATCTCAGTCAATTTAACTTCACAGCCTCGTCGATTGATTTCCCCTCCATCCTTGCCTAGCACTCGACTGATGTCTTACCTCAATATTGTTCTCTCTATTATATCACTTCACACAGGAGACAAAAAAACGCAGGCACCTATGATCAAAGACAGCTAGCCTTATCATGTCGTGCTCTCTCAGTAGCCATGTCTTGCTCACAGCTATAAAGAAGCATGGAGCGTATGTACTGCTGAGCAGTACGCCATATCGACAAGATGTAATCAATAGATAAATCGATAAATACTTTGACTGGACACTATCCAGCAACTAGTGTGATGTATCTAGTACTTTCTTCGGTGCAGACTGAATTCTCTCAGTCAGCTCTGCAATATGGCCACCATTTTAAGTAGCTCGCCATTACGGTGTATATTGATTTGTTGATATTCGATTGTTGGAGGTAATCGGTCACAGGAAGCCCTGTTGGACATAAGTTTCGTGCTAGTTGCCAGCAGTGCTACAAGAGGTCAGTCGCGAGCCAGCCCGAATAGTACAGTGGCGACGTCTCTGACTGCAACACCGGGTGACGCGGATTCGAATCTCAGAAGGGTGAGATATGAGTTCCTTCAAGTTTGCAGATACGCCTTGCTGACTGGTTAGTGGCAACTAGCACGAAACCTAGGTCCAAGGCTTAGCTTCTTGTGGTAATCAAATTCGGCAGATGATGATCTCAGGATTTCGTCATGAGCTGACATTAGTTAGAGAACCAATGGAAAACCTGGGAATACTGGATAGCTGTTTCGTCCTAGTTTGGGACTCTTCATCAGTCAGTACGCACCCCCGGGACTCGAACCCAGGACCCATGATGATCTTTAAATCATGATCAGGTTTGGTAGAGTAATAGGAGGTTTGATCAAGTGTGTTCTAGCACAGAGCACTGTAAACTCTTCCTTTCTGCCTTATAAAACTAGAATATATATTCTAGTATCCGTGTGGAAAGTTGGAGTTGGGGAACAATGTGTTAAGCATATCTGTGAGGTCTGACAAGTTTGGACGGCTTATCTTTCTTATTTCTGTAAATATAAGTCATCGGTTTGCAATGAACTTATCCAATATGGAACTATACTCTCCTCCTACAGTGTGCTCAAATTCTATGCTTCCATTATTATACTTACTCTTTGTATATATATCCTATCTACATATATATACTTATAATACTTTATTATTCAGGATACTGATAAACATATATATGCCAATAGTCAAGAGTTGAACAATGCTCGAAAGGTTAGTCATCGCTTGATGTGTATAAAATAGTGTATGTGTAATTCTGTGTACTCGTATGTATCCCTGTGTGTCCGTGTGCTTGCGTGTGTGCGTGTGTGTGTGAGTGTCTGTTTATTGTGTAATGTATAGATGTTACTCGGAGAAATAATAAACAGTCTACGTGTTTAACACACCAATGTACTGCACGATTGCATGTCTTTCTAATACTTTTATGGCACACACTTACATTCCTTTTGTCCTTCCTGCCCTCCCCTCCCCTCCCCTCCTACCACAATCACCGCCGTCTTTAAAAAGCATGTTTCCTTACAATAACATACACAGACAGACATACACACCTTTTTTCTCCATGCCACTTCAGCTAGCTTCTAGAGACGTGAATTGTCAGAAATCAGATTTGATGGTAGGTCATTGCGTGTCATTGGCTACATGCTGCTTAACGAGGGTGCCTTACTAACTTGAAGATTCCGAAGATCCTTACCTCTGTGGTTTGACGTCTTAGATGAATACTGGACGGCTGTTCCTTCCCGATTTGAAACTATTCGGCAGTGCATACCCGCGACCAACTTGGTTGACCTACCATCGAGTCACATTTGTTTGAAATTCAGTGACTTGTGTCAGTTGGTGCCACATGGCGCTATGCTTAACTAGTGCCTTTCTGTGAGCCACTTCTTTCCTCCTTGACTGTAGTGATGGGTGATCGCCAGTACTTGTTAGCCACCTGTGAACGGCCTTTCCGTTCCGTTTTTTTCGGGGCCGGGTTCATTCGTGGTTTACGTTGTATGGCTCATCTCAGGGAGTAAAATCAGGTCAAACAACCCAGTCTCTGGCCATCTAAGGTTTTTTGACGGAAAATATGGCTTCAGGCTAGAGCTCTTTTGAAGTTTCAGGTAGCAGTAGTATTTCGTTATATGGAGTGGCGTTGCTAGCCTCACATCCAACCTTTCCTCTTCATCAGTCTTATTACTGGTTTAGTGAGGTAAAGGAGTGCGTCAGTTGGCCGGGAGTCAAAACCCGGACAACATGCGTGGTTGGTGAACATTCTACTGACTCTAAGCCATAGACTCAAGCGACACTGATTGATATAAGTAGTATATAACTACTCACTCCGATCAATCAGTAGTATGTAGTCTTATGTAAATGTACTTGCTTTTCTGATTACCATTTATGGTGTCAAAGAAACTGTGACGGAAATGTCACGCCTCGAACTTTTTACACTGGAAACTGTGAATTTTGTTTTATGGGTAGACACTACTGAAAAGTTTCACTCCCATTATTCGTGTTATTTTACCTATTCATTCTTGAAACTATATCGATATCTGATACAATGTATTTTTCCCCGCTCTCCCTTAGAACAATCTATTGATCCAAGTACATTTCACGGTGAAATTATGTATACGGTTTTTAACTACTTTTATATATTTCAGTAGTTAACCTTGTTCAATATCAAATTTAAACGATAAGTGGTAAATCTTTTGCTATTGAACATAAATGTCTGAATAAATCAATAATTAATATTCAATTAGTACTGTTCTGTATGTATATATCCTGCCTACCTACACCCCGATTTATTCATCAAATCAGGCAAAGGAGTTCGCAGCCGCTGCTATAGCAGACTCGGTTATCATAGATCAACTGGCCTATGAAGAGACCACTTATTGGAGAAATGTTCAACATCCACGATCAAGTATTAATAATTATCGACAAAATCATTTCATACGCAGTGAACAGTGTTCACCACATCCTGTGAGTAGATCACAAAGTCAACTGACAAACAGTAGAGCGGTGAAACCTTTTATGACACCAGATTTACGCTCACGAGCAACATCTTCACCGAAGCCAGCAAGACCTAACCAACCACCGATTCTGTCACCATTGGATCAACAAATACCTGATCATGTATCAACCAATAGGCATGAAGTGAACGTCAGACGATTGGATATAGTGAATTCAATGAAACTACAACATAATAAACATTTGGATTATGAAAGTGATCATACGGATAGTGGAGGTTACAGAGAGGTGAGACGGTGGTTTCCGCGTATGCGTGTGTGTGCGTGTTGCAGCGGGAGGGATGATGGTGGTGAAGAAATACAAATACAATCACTGTTTCGGTTTTTTTTACGTTCTTTCATATCCTACGCATTCACACTGTGCTGCTTATCATCGCCATCATTGATTAAGTACATATAATTTTAGAAATGCATTAGAGGCTAGCCGTGATTAACGAGTCTTATGAGAAACGGGTGTTTACAAAGTTCTTTTACTATTTAGCCTTCATTCATTTATTTCTGTTCCCTTGTGTCATCGTTTTTGCATACATATATAGATAGATGTATGTCTATAGTGATATGCTTCACATTCACATATGGTTTCTAATACACTGACACACACATTCACACACACACACGGAGTTTTTGATCCCGGTGTATATTCGTGGTGGTTTACTTTGCTACTGGTCCTACACTTTTTCGGATATCTTATCTTCATACATCCTTTTGGAAACTCATTTTGAAGGCTTTTCATTCACACAGACATAGACAAACATACACACACACTTTTACTGACTGACGCACGTACGGAAAGTTTTACCTTTTCTTCATCTTCTTCCGGTATTCATCGCTCTGCCATCTGAGTGTGGAATATACAGCGAACACAACCTTCGAAGTTTCAGTATTGGGTGTGGTATGTTGTATTCATTTAACGGGTCAGGGTAGCTGTTCTCACGATTAATTGCACCCATCACCTTTTGCAAACTTACAGCTCTATTCAAGTGTTGGTTTGTAGGGATTTGGTCGATTGGTGACAGGATTTCATCATTAGCTGACATTGGTTAGAGAACCGTTAAAAAACCTTCAGGGAGTTCTGGACAACTGTTTCACCAGTCTAGTTTTGGACTCTTCAGCAGTAAGCACCCACCGCCAAGGTTCGAACCCAGGACTTTCTGGTTAGGAGGCTAGCTCGTATACCATTCAGCCACTGGGACCCTATCCAATCGTCCTTGAATTTTAACTTCTGCCAATTCACAACATAGCGCGACCCCTAGCCAATGTCTTCAGTGGCGAGTATTTGTCCTCACATCCGACCTGCTGCACCCTACTGATCACGACCTCCCATTAGAACCCGGATAACTACTTACCTGAATAGGGCGATGAGATGCTCACTAGAGACTTGCCCTATTCAGGTAAGTAGTTACCTGGATTTCTATTGAGAATTCGTGACCAGTAGGGTGAAGCCGGTTGGGTGTGAGGACAAACACTCGCCACTGAAGATATTGGCTAGGGGTCACGCTATGTGGTGAATTGCAGAATTTAATATTCATGGGCCATTGGATCGGGTCCCAGTGGCTTAATGGTATACGAGCTCTCTCGCCTTGTAACCAGAAGGTCCTTGGTTCGAACCCTGGTGGTGGGCGAGTACTGGGCTGACGAAACAGCTGTGCAGTGCTCCCAGGTTTTACAGCTCTACCCCAGGAATCGACACCCAGGTATCCAATGTGGTCGGTAGTCATTCTGCTGGTGAACCACTGAAGCAGGACATTCACAAAGGGTCACATTGCCGCCAAATAATGTGTCCTGACAAGAATAACTAAAGTAATCTCCAGAAAAACTCATAGTTAGATTGACTAGTTCTCAGATATCTCGGGGGAAACTTAAGATTCTCACAGCGAAAGATGTACTGTTTAATAGTCTGAGTGATTCAACGGATATTGGTAACCATCTTTATTTCACTAGGATAGGTTAAGTTATCTGTAGTATTTTATCAGCAATAGAGATGAGAATTTGGATTACTCTGGTTAGTTTTCAGCAGAAATTATTTCCAAATCTTGTTGTTCTCAATCCGTTCTCACTTGGAAGAAGAACTCGGTATACGACTGATATCCAAATACTCCAGCAATAAAACTAAAGCTGGTTCAATGGATTTAACTAATAGTGGTAGTGAAGTTGACACGCAACTGACAATATCTTTTTTACATTACCGACGTCTTATTCTCTCTTTGAAGGCCTCGTAGAACATTCGTCTTCAGCAGCATGTCTCCATTTCATCCTGTTTACTCCAGTTGCTTATAGATAGCACCACGATTGCCCAGAATTGTTCACATTCTACTCACAGGATCTCCCCGATGTCACCGTCGTTTCCTGTTTGCGTTCTACTCGACGGTTTGCCTGTCACGTGATGTCAGTCAACCGTCTTCTTTACATGTATCCTTGGTCGTTTACATATCTTTGATTGGTTTCTTGCCAGCCAGAATTCCTTGTTTCTAATCTTTTCTGGCTAGCCATCTGATCTTCATTATGGAACCAGAGGAGGCATCTATCGATAAAAGTCTACAGGCAGCTTTTTGTAATGCTCAAGCTAAGTCTCTGATACTACTTACTTACTTTACTTCGGCTATCTCCTACGGGAGGTTGAACTGGCTTCATGAACATCTCGAATGTTTGTAAGGGAGTTGTTGTAGTTTCATGTGAATTGGGTACGAGTGATGTCCCCAACATCGCTCGGCCTTTTGTTTGAGAGTACAGCTCTAGCCTTTACACAACCAAGTGTGACCTACAAGGTAGTAGGAGTGGAGTAGGGAGTCCACTATCCATTGGCAGCCGGTGACCGGAGTCCGGTTCATACGCCTTTTTGAATGGGGCCAGACATCCAGGGCATCCAATAAGCTCTTTGTCCATACGTCTGCCGGTGAACTCCGGTGAGCTTCATACACCAGTCGTTGGAGGTTTGAAATCAGGGTTTAGCCATCTCCCCTAGACTGTCATCCAATGGACAGTCAACCCGGTGAAGAGCGCCGGGCATCCGCATCTCTGATATTACTATTCAAGATCTAAATTTTCTTTCGCGCATTGAGTTTATCAGATTTTCACACTGATTTCATATTACCAAAGACGTGTCCTGCCTGTTTGATTCCGTCTAGCCTTGGCATCTTCATCCGTTTCACTTACTTATAGGCGAAGCGATTCAGATTAGATGACTGACTGAAAAAGGCTATCCCCTTCGAATTCCTCCAGTCTACGATGATTGATCTGCTTCTTCTCTCAACCTGTTGGTTTTCGTCTGTTAATCTTCAAGTTTATGTGTGTGTGTGTCTGTGTGTGACATTAAATGTGCAGTTACAAGTAATAGCATTTTTTGTGAATAACAACCTCGATTAATACATTTCAAACAGTACTCTATACACACTTTTATAGAAACCCTAACACTTAACAATTCACTAATCACTTATCCTTATTATATTTTCATTTTTTATTTCTCAATAAAGATTTTTAACCATTCTAAGTTTGAAATATATTCCTTATTTTTTGAACTTAAAACATGGTGAAAAGTCTAACCATAATGTATAATCCTCACTTATATCTCCCTGATTGCATCATGTTAATATATACGCTAACCTTATTAACAAATATTCGTTCCATATTAGTCTGTTTATTAGATGTATCACACACAGTGAGTGAAGCATGTGTTATTTTGATGTGGTTTTGTTCTCTGAGCTGGATGGTTAGTTTGCGAAGCTTTCATCACCTTACTGGGTGACATCTTCAGCGCATACTTCAATTGAAGTATGAAGCAAATTGAAGTATGCGCTGAAGATGTCACCCAGTAAGGTGATGAAAGCTTCGCAAACTAACCATCCAGCTCAGAGAACAAAACCACATCAAAATCATCCACCTGAGCTACAAATCTTCTCTATAGCATGTGTTATTTACTGGATGGGAAGGTTTCAAACAAAATTTACTTATTGTTCATAATTATAACATCAATTATGATCACCCAAATTTTGAAACTTGAGTTTTATAGTTTTCTTTGTCCTCTCATATTTGTCGTGGTTGGGGTAGTAGAATTTTCCAGATATCTGGGTGGACAGGTGTTGAATCATTCCTATTACACACGTATTCGCTCTTCCTTGTTTCGATAAACAAAGCTTCCGTTGTTATCAGTCTCTCCTTGCACCCTCTCTGTTAAATTAGAATTTAAAACTGTCAACCTATCCCATCTTATTGTAAGATTGTGTGTAATCGCATGCAGTGTGTGCCATAGCTGAACTATTCTCTAGATTTCTTACCTTCTTCGGATCAACCAATCTAGATTTTGTTAGGTTCTTATCTTCAGCTAGTCTGACTGCCACTGTTCTACTGCTTTGACCTATGTATCTGACCTGACAATCACTGCAGGCAGGGCTCCACAGGATCCTTTAACCTTTTTTGTTTGAAACTGTGTCATCCAGTAAATAATACTCTTTTTTTACTGTGTGATACACCCAATAAACAAACTAATATGGAATTCAAGTGTTGGCAGAAGTTAGAATTCAAGGACCATTGGATCGGGTCCCAGTGGCTTAATGGTATACGAGCTCGCCTTGTAACCGGAAGGTCCTGGGTTCGAATCCCGGTGGGTGCGTACTGCTGAAGAGTCCCAAACTAGGACGAAACAGCTGTTCAGTACTCCCAGGTGGGTGTCCAATGGTTCTCTAACTAATGTCAGCTCATGATGAAATCCTAATATGGAATTACTTACTACCACAGTGCCCAAGTTTTACACACAACATTCGGTCTATTATTTCAACCGAAGAAACCCAAAAATTATTTCGATGCATTAATAATTCAGTACATCTACTGATGAAAATTGATTTCATCAGTAGTGTAGTGTAAAACTTCAAAAATTGAGGTGGAGGGGAGGGGTAGGATTAATTATTGATTATATGACTTGATATTGATTATTTCTTATTTATCAAGTTTTCAAGAGTTGATGTGTAAGGTTTAGATTTGTTTTTACGAGTATGACCACGGATTGATACAATTTAGAGAACCATTGAAAACCAGCACTGGAGTACTGGACAGCTGTTCCATTCTAGTTTAGGAATCATTGGCACTACATACCCACTAGGGTTCGAACATAGGACCTTCCAGAGGGATGTCTCACCGATGACAGTGGTTGATGGTAACGCAAAATCCCGAATTAGTAGAAGTTAGAATTCATGTTCTGGCCATTGAATTGGGTCCCAGTGGCTGAATGGTATACGA